TCTGTGCTCCAGAAAGAGGCTGATGATCTTTAAGTGTTTATCTTGGAATGTCAATGGGTTGAATTCAGCACAGAAAAGGAAGAAACTATTTACATATTTGAAACAATTTAATAATGATATAATATGTTTACAAGAAACGCATATCACAATTCAAGATCAAAAATATTTGATAAACTCAAAACTAGGAGCACATTTTATATCTTCAACTTCGCAGAAAAAGAATGGTGTGGTTATTTATGTAAATAAAAAGTTAACAGCTAAAGTTATAGAAGCAGATCAAGATGGTAGGTTTGTAGCAATTGAATTGTTTACAGCAAATGGCCAAATTCTTTTGATTGGAATTTATGCTCCCAATCAACAACAGGACTATTTTTATAAGATGTTACATACTAAAATATTGCAATGGGACTATAGATCTATTTTAATTATGGGAGACTGGAACGGAGTAATTGATTCTAAACTAGATAAAAAGAGTTTGGCAAAGTCTAGAATTAGACTACCACAGACTTTTTTTGATATGAAAGAAGATATGGAACTAAAAGATGTTTGGAGAATACATAACCCAAAAGAATTGGATTACACCTTCTTTTCTGATAGACATAGATCCTTTTCTAGGATTGATTTTATCCTGTTGTCAAATGATCTACTTGTTAAGACAAAAAGAACAAAGATTTTTCCAAGAACTTTGACTGACCATAGCCCTGTATGGATAGAAATTGAGATGGATAAGGTTGAGAGACGTTCTTGGAGATTAAATGAGAACTTGTTTAGATATGAAAAAAATACAATAGAACTTAAAAAGCATTTGAAAGAATTTTTTGAAACAAATTTGAATAAAGGTACCCCAATTGAAATTGTTTGGGACGCAAGTAAAGCTTATATGAGAGGGGTACTTATCTACATGAACTCTAAACATAGACTGTTCCGACAAAAGAAAAGATCTGAATTGGAAACGGAAATAAAGAATAAAGAACAGTTACTTATTAAAAACCCAACAGATGAAAGAATACGAAGTGCTATAAAACTTTTGAAAGACCAATTTCAAATGCTTATGGCGGAACAAGTTGCAACAAACTTACAATATGCGAAGCATAATACATTTTGCAACGCTAACAAACCGGGCAGATGGTTGGCTTACACATTGAGGAAAAAACAAAGTATACGGACTATTGATAGTATTGATATTGGAGGGAAAGAAATTTTTCAACAAAAATTAATTAAAGAAGCTTTTGTGGACTATTATACCAAACTATATGCCAAAGAGGAGGTGCAGAATGGATTTATAGAAAAATATTTAAATGATAAGAGAGTTACAAAAATTACTGATCAACAAAAGGAAAGAATGAATTATCCTATAACAGAGGAGGAGATAATAGCAGCAATTAAACAGTTAAAAACAGCCAAAGCTCCTGGCACGGATGGTTTGACCGCAGTGTATTACAAAACTTTACAAGCTGAAATGGTGGGACAACTTAGAGATTTATTTTGCAATATTCAACAAGGGGGTAAAATACCCCCATCATGGACAACTGCTTATATATCTTTGATACCAAAAGAACAAGTTGGTCCTAAAAAACCAGAGAATTATAGACCAATATCTCTTTTGAATACAGACTATAAAATCTATGCGAAAGTATTAGCCAACAGGTTGATGCCAGTAATTCAAAAGGTGATTCATGAGGATCAAGCGGGATTTATTGAGGGCAGATATATGAAGGACAATGTAAGGCAAGTAATAGATTTATTGGAATATCTTGATAAGAATAAACAGATTCCTGCAGTGCTGGTTTTTTTGGATGCAGAGAAGGCCTTTGATAGAGTGGATTGGAATTTTCTACTAAAGACTTTAAAAAAGATGGACTTTGGGGACCAATTTATACAGGCGATTTCAGCAATTTATCAAGAGCAAAAGGCACAGATTATTATTAATGGAAGTCTGACGACAGAGTTTAAAATTGAAAAAGGAACAAGACAGGGATGTCCGTTGTCCCCACTTTTATTTATTTTAACATTGGAAGTCTTGCTAAATACAATACGGGACTCTAAAATTTTGAAAGGCATAATGATAAGGCAAGAGGATTATAGAATAAAGGCATTTGCAGATGATCTGGTTGTTACCCTATCACAACCAATGGAATCAACAATCCTGATGAAGGACATTATACAAGACTATGGTAGAGTTTCAGGTTTTAGACTGAATTCAAAAAAGACTAAAATGATAGTTAAAAATATGACACAAGATCGCAAACATGAGCTTGAAAGGAGGGCAGGTTTTGAAATTGTACCTAAGGTAAAATATCTTGGAGTTCAGGTTGCAGAATCAAACATGAAATTGTTTCAAAATAATTATGAGGTGTTGTGGCGAGAGGTTCAGAAAGACATGGAGACTTGGAAAAAGCTGCAACTGTCTTTACTTGGAAGAATAGCAGCAGTTAAGATGAACATTTTGCCAAGATTTCTGTTTTTGTTTCAAATGATTCCGGTGCTTAAAAGTGATAAACAACTGAAAGTTTGGCAGTCTGGTGTGAATAAGTTTGTCTGGAACGAGAAGAAGCCGAGAGTGAAATTGAAAATTATGCAAGATGTTCCAGAAAGAGGAGGCCTTAAACTCCCAAACCTACAGTTATATTATGATGCAGCAGCTTTAACTTTAACAAGTGATTGGTTTGGAAGTAAAAAGACTGGAATATTGAATGCAGAAAGTTTTGATCTTGAATTTGGATGGCATGCTTATTTATTTTATGACGACAAAGTAGATAAAGTATTTAAAAGTCATATACTTAGAGACTCTTTGATGAGAGTTTGGAAGAAGCACCGACTCAAATGGGATTATAAAATACCGCTATGGCTGGATCTTGGTCATACTTTGTGGAATACAAATATAATGTCACTCGGGGGGGTTTTATATAAAGAGGTTCTTTTCACAGATGCGGGCAGATGGCAGCTGAAGACATTACAGACACTGTTGGATGAAGGGTTTAATTTAACTTGGTTACAATATAATCAATTACAACTGAGATGGAAAGAGGACCAAAAAACTGGTATTATGTTGCATGAGGAAGAATTGGTTAGACATATAAGAGAGAAAGGTCCAATGCATATTAAAAGGCTTTATAATGTTTTGTTAGAAAGAGATTCAGAAACGGAATTAGTTAAAGATTGTATGATTAAGTGGGCACAGAATTTTGAAGAACCAGTGATGCTGGAAACTTGGGAAAAAATTTGGGTTCAGAATGTTAAATTTACACAGTCGCAAAACCTGAGAGAAAATTTTTATAAAATGTTTTATAGATGGCATTTAGATCCTAAAAAGTTGTCATGCATGTACCCTAATGTTCAGCCAAAATGTTGGAGATGTGAATGTTTAGATGCTACGTATTATCATGTTTGGTGGACCTGCAGGAAAGTTAGGGCTTTTTGGATAAAAATTTGGTGGGTCATGCAGAATGTTTTGAGGAAAAAAATTCAATTTTCTCCACAGTTGTTTTTATTGGGTATAGTAAAGGGTTTTACACAGGATGAAATTAAGCTGATATTGTACATGATAACTGCAGCGAGATTATTGATAGGTAAATATTGGAAAAATGAAGCTTTACCCACTATCGAAGAATGGACTTTGAAGATGGCCAGTTTTGCCGAGATGGCGAAGATTTCAGCATATTTAAAAGACTGTCCACAAGAGACTTATGAATGGGAATGGAAAAAATGGATAGATTATGTGCAGAACAAATATCAAGTTAGAAAGTATCAAATAGCTTTTATTTGAAAATAATGTATTAGAAATATTTTAATGTAAAGAGACAAAGAGGAAAAATTATACAGGGGGAGGGATGGGTTCAAGCTTATATATCAGTGTTATTAGTTATGAGTACATAATAGGGAAGTCTGGGGGGGGAGGGTTAGGGAGGGTTAGGGAGGATGGGAAGTTTGGGGAGGGAGGTGGGGGGGTGAAAAAAGGGGTGAAAATGTAATTGTAAAACTTTTGCAATAAAAAAAAAAGCTGACTTGGTGTCAAAGTCAAGTTGTCATGGCCGCATCACTTCTTTGCTAAACTGGGCGTGGGCATGGCCAGCATGTGACACATCTGGCCTGCGGGCTGCGAGTTTGACAGCCCTGTTGTAGACTCTCAGGCTTGGTTTTTAAATTGGAAATAAAAAGACTGAACAATATAATTTCACATGATCAAGATTTAATTTATTGTCTAGAAAAAACGGTATTCTTTTATTAATATAACATATATCATATATCAGGATCGTCTGATTCACCAGTTGCGTCCCTTTTTGGATCGAGACTCCTTATGCACAGTCACTCAGGCACTCATCACTTCCCACCTGGACTACTGCAATGCTCTCTACATGGGGCTCCCCTTGAGGAGCACCCGGAGGCTCCAACTGGTGCAGAATGTGGCCGCGTGGGGGATTATGGGAGCGAGGGGGCACTCCCATGTGACACCTCTCCTGCATGAACTGCATTGGCTTCCAGTGGTCTTCCGGGTGCGCTTCAAGGTGTTGGTTACCACCTTTAAAGCGCTCCATGGCATAGGACCTGGGTATTTGCGGGACCGCCTTCTGCCGCCAATAGCCTCCCACCGACCAGTACACTCCCACAGAGAGGGACTCCTCAGGGTGCCGTCAGCCAGGCAATGTTGGCTGGCGACCCTCAGGGGGAGGGCCTTCTCTGTGGCAGCTCCTGCCCTCTGGAACGATTTGCCCCTGGAGATACGAAGGATATAGGATCTCCGGGTCTTTCGCCGTGCCCTAAAAACTTTTCTTTTCCATCAAGCAGGGCTGGCGTGAACCCCCTCCCCTTTTTTTTAGCTTTTTAAATTGTCAATGGGTTTTAATTTGAATGTTTTAAATTCTGGGCCAAAGTCATGTAATTCTTTTAAAAATTTTAAATTTTGTATTGGTGGCTTCCGGTGGCTCCACGGACGACGAGGACGGTCTCCATAGACCGCCAGCCACCCGATCTGTAAAAACCGCCCTGACAGCGCTAAACTGCTGTCCGGCGATTTGAAAAAACTCTCCTTCAGGCAAAGAAGGAGAGGAGAGTCGGAGGGGGTGGGTAGAGCTCCCCGAAAGTCACTGGATTAATTCCAGGGACTCGGAGGGTGAGAGCTCCCCAGTTCACCCCTCCCATTGCTCCGGATCGCTGGTGCCTCTGTTAATCAGAGCAAGACGTCTGCGTCCAATTCTGCCGGCAAACAGTGAGTTCTAATGATTTCTAACAAAGCAGACAGAGCGGAAGCAAGAGTGCAAGCTTTTTAAAAGAAACAGAACTTAACTCCGTGAATACATTGTTGCAAACGGAGCTCTCTTGAGCTGGAGGCTGGAGAGGAAGCCTTTGTTATGGGCGGAAGGGAAAGTGAAAGTTAAAGGGAAACTGCTTGTTAAAAGCCCTCTGCCTGAAGAGTAAACTGCTGGGGATTGAGTATAGCTTGAAGAGAGGATTGTTTATTTTGAAAAAACTCTGAAACATACTTTGCAAGACTGTTTATAAGACTTCGTGGCTGCAAAAGGAAAAAAACTCTTTTTAAAATAAAATGGCTGCTAAACAACTAAAGCCACCAACTTCTAAAGGGGGAGGAGGTTCCCCTGTAGTGACTCAAAAACAACAACTTCCGGCTGATACACAGTCACAAGACCTTAAAGAATTTATAATGGGTGCCCTGAACAATCAGACAGAAATGATGAAAGAATTTTCAGAGGAGTTAAAGAAAATTAAAAGTGTGGTGGAGGAAAAACATGATGAAATAAGAGATGACATTGTTTATGCAGTTTCAGGACTGGCTACTCATATGTTAAAGATTGAGGAGAGAGTACGGGAAATTGATGATGCTAACTTGGAGCTTGCAACTAAATTAGGAGAGGTTATGATACAAACAGAGAAAGTGGATCACGAAATGGTTATGTTACAATACAGATGTCAAGCTGCGTTGCGGACTCCGTGTGTGAGGAAAGGAAAACGCCCAACCACGGCTTGCTGTAACAGTTTATTGATTAGCACCTTCCTCCACGGGACACACAGCTAGGTTGACGGGTATGCAGGATACACAAAGTCGGCGTTGGGAGCGGCTGCCTCCCAACGCAATCTAAAGAACGCGCTAACAATGTATAACCACCGCCCTTCCGGGTACTAGTGCGCAGGCGTTGCCAGGGCGGTGAGTAGCGAAAAGTTAACCCTTGCTCGTCCGCAATTGTGTCCGGTCGCCTACCATTATCCTAACACCCCCACCACCAGTGTTAACAGATCCCAAAGCCCCGAAGCGTCTTTCGTTGATACCCCTCCCTCGTCTGGCTCCCGTAGTTCGGCACAGTGGTCGGGCCCACGATCCCGGGAGCGGATCGAAGTGTCGAGTGGATCTCGACAACAGATCAATGGAATTTGCCCTGAGGCTGAGAGGTTTGAAAGAAAAGAGTGGTGAAAATTTAAAAGATGTTTGTTCCAATGCTTTAGCAGAGCTGATTTCAGAAAGACCAGAAGATGTGGCAATTCAAATGGATAAAATTTACAGGGTTAATTCCTGGCTGGCAAAACAAAAGCAGCTACCAAGAGATGTGGTGATTTATTTTACAACAAGGAGAATTAGAAATGACATTCTGCAAGCTTCTTATAGAAACAGGATTAAAGTGGATGGACAAGAGCTGGTGGTCCTGAAAGAGCTTCCTCCCAAAATGTTAAGAGACAGAAAGCAGTTTGGTTTTTTGGTGAATGAACTAAGAAACCAGCAGCTCCAGTATAGATGGGATGTCCCATTTGGGATAATAGTGACATACGCTGGGCAAAGACACCGCTTAAACACAGTTGGAAAGGCAAAAGATTTTTATGTCAATGTTTTAAAGGCTGGAAGGCCACCCTCACCAGGGGGTGCTAGAAAGCAATTGGAAATGACACAGAAAGATGGAGGGCAACCACAAACTTACGCTCAAGCACTAGCTGGAGGAGCCAATTTGGAAGAAGATTTACTGTTGAGTGGGGGTCCACCACCAACCCTTGAGTCATTAAAGACGATACAGCTGCCAAAAGATCAACGATTAACAAGAGCTACTTACAAACAACATCTGGCACGACAGCCTCAAGATCCAACCCAACAAGTCCAAAAAACACAAACAGTGGGAGGAGCTAGGCCGAAGTCTAAAATGGCGGAGGAGGTTCAGCTGATGCTCTCAAAGCTTGGAGGGCCCAGAGATGGCAAATAAATTCTTATCTTGGAATGTCAACGGTTTAAATTCTCCACAAAAAAGAAAGAAAATATTTCACTATTTGAAGCAATTTCAGAATGATGTTATTTGTTTGCAAGAAACGCATATTAAATCTTCAGATCAAAAGTATTTGATAAATTCGAAATTAGGTATACATTTTGTGGCATCAGCACCAGAGAAGAAAAATGGCCTAGTTATATATGTTAAAAGAGGCTTAGTGGCCAATTTAATTGAGGCTGACACTCAAGGTAGATATATTGCAATCGAATTAACAACACAGAATGGGAAGCTGCTTGTAATTGGAGTATACGCACCTAATCAACAACAAGATAAATTTTATAAACTTTTACATACTAAAATATTACAATGGGATTATAGATCTTTACTTCTAATGGGTGACTGGAATGGGGTAATAAATATCCAGAGAGATAAAAAAAGTCTTTCCAAGATATCCATGCGCGCTAAGTTGCCTAAATCTTTTGATATTTTGGAGGATATGGAGCTCAGAGACATTTGGAGAGAAAGGAACGTATTGGAAAGTGATTTTACTTTTTTTTCAGATAGGCATCAATCTTTTTCTAGGATTGATTTTATATTAACTACAAATGATCTTTTTTCTAGGGTGAAGAATACAAAGATATGTCCAAGAACTTTAACTGATCATAGCCCGGTTTGGGTGGAACTAGAGCAGGAAAGAGGGGAAAGGAGGTCTTGGAGGTTAAATGAGAATTTATTTAGATATGAAGATAACTTGTGTGAGCTTAAAAAAACAAATGAAAGAATTTTTTGTTAACAATATGAATAAAGGAACCTCGATGGAGATGGTATGGGATGCGAGTAAGGCATATATGAGAGGAACATTAATTTTCTTGAACAATAAATATAGACTAAAACAACAAAACAGACGGAAAGAGATAGAGGAGGAAATTAAAAAGAAAGAACAATTGCTTATAACTAACCCGGGAGATAAAAAGGCAAAAGATATGATTAATATTTTAAGAGAGCAATTTAATATGTTAATGGCTGGGCAAGTAGCAACCAGCATACAATATGCCAGACATAATACATTTTGTAATGCTAATAAACCTGGGAGATGGTTGGCTTATACGATGAGGAAAAAACAAAAATCACGTGTTATAGACAAGATAGAATTTAGAGGTAAAGAGATTTATCAACAGAATTTAATAAAAAAGGCTTTTTTGGAGTTCTATACAAAGTTATATGCTAAAGATGTAATTCAAGATGTTGATATTGATAGATATTTAAAGATGGAGATTCCTGAATTAACGCTGGAACAGAGAGAGAGATTGAATCAGCCAATAACTTCCGAGGAAATTGTTGGGGCAATTAAACAATTAAAAATAGGTAAGGCTCCGGGAACAGATGGACTAACAGCTGTCTATTATAAACATTTACAATCTGAAATGTTAGAACCACTCAAAATTTTATTTAATAAAATACAAGTAGGAGGAGGAGTACCACCTTCCTGGAAAACAGCCTTTGTCTCACTAATTCCAAAGGAGGACCAAAATTCCATTAAACCTGAGAATTTTAGGCCAATTTCACTTCTGAATACTGATTATAAGATTTTTGCTAAGATATTAGCTAATAGATTAATGCCAGTTATGCAACAAATAATTCATAATGATCAATCAGGGTTTATAAAAGGGAGACAAATGAGATATAATGTTAGACAAATTGTAAACTTACTGGAATATTTGGAAAAAAAATAATCAAGTCCCTGCAGCGTTTATATTTTTGGATGCAGAGAAGGCATTTGATCGTTTGAACTGGCAATTTTTGTTTAAAATAATAGAGAAAATGCACTTTGGGGAATATTTCACACAATCAATTAGAGCGATATATCAGCAGCAAACAGCACAAATTATAGTTAATGGAGGTTTAACAGAGGCTTTTAAAATTGAGAAAGGAACAAGGCAGGGGTGTCCTCTGTCCCCATTACTGTTTATTTTGACTTTGGAAGTACTATTGAACAAGATACGTGACTCAGAAAAATTGAAGGGTATTGTAATTAGACATCAAGATTATAGATTAAGAGCATTTGCAGATGACTTGGTTATTACCTTATCCCAACCTATAGAGTCGGCTCCATATATATTGGATATAATTGATCAATACGGGAAAGTATCAGGATTTAAAGTTAACTCACATAAGACAAAGATGATAGTTAAAAATATGACTATACTTGAAAGAGATAAACTAGCAAGATTAACAGATTTTGAAATAGTTAAAAAGGTCAAATATCTAGGGGTATACATAGCAGCTTCAAATACAAAATTATACAAAAATAACTATGAGGTTCTTTGGCAGAAGGTACAGAAGGATATGGAAAATTGGAAAAAAATTACAGTTGTCTTTATTGGGAAGAATTGCAGCAATAAAAATGAATGTCTTACCTAGATTTTTTTTTTGTTCCAAATGATACCTGTGCTTAAGAAAGATGAAAATCTGAGAGAATGGCAGAAAGGTGTTAATACTTTCATTTGGGCTGGGAAAAAACCCAGAATAAAAATGAAAATTATGTTTTTACAGTTCACTTTCACTCATCCGCATTTTTTCACTCAGATTAGAAAGCCAAGAAAACTCTAATACTTGCGATTCCGAGTTTCAGGGTTCAAGTAAAAATATGCTGCTTATTAAGGCTGATTCCTTTCCTTTCAGTTTGAAGTTTCCTGTAGCCGGCTTGTTCTGCAAAAGCAGACTTGTCCCACGCCGCCCGGAGTTCCAGCAGGTTAAACGGGAGCCGCTCCTGTTCCCTCCCCAGAAACTATTCCCTGGGGGGGTTGCAGGGGCTCAACCTGTGCCCTGTGATCTCTCTTCAAAAATCCTAGGGATTTTGAAGTTTTCGAGCCGCTTCTTAGTCGCGAAGCGGCTCTACAAGCGGCGGGGCTGGTGGAGCTTCAAAAGGCACCGCCGCCGCCGAGGAAACCGGAAGTCCCTCTGATTGAATATTTTGTATACTGGAAATGGAGCCTGACTTTTCTTTATCTGCTCCCAGCATGCTTTCTATCGACCTTTACTATGCTGGAGAGGCTATAAGAGATGCCTGATTTAAGGTTATTTTCTTATTTATTTTGGTTATCGTGCCTGTGCTTGTCATTTTTACTATTTGTTGCAAATTCTTCCAAAATTTCAAACAATGACTTCTTTTAATATCCTTAAATTTGTTACCTATAAGAGTCACTTAAATAGTTTTTAAATTTAACCTATATAATGCAATTCCTTAAATGTCAGTCTATATTTATAATATTATGACTTTAGCTGTATAAATACATTTATCACTCTAATAAATATGTAATCACTCTACAAGGCAATGTATTTTACTATATACTGTATATTCTATATCCTTCTATATGCTTATTTAGGACTCTATAAATTTTAACTTATAAATACGTTTATGAAAGAGAGGAAAAAAGAGGAGAGTGAGGGAAAAAATTTAAAACTCTAGAAATTCATTAATTTGTTAGCACAATATATATAATCAACTATAAAGATAAATAAATATAACTAGCAGTTACTAAGATTAGTATTCAGTATCAATAATCCAGTTTGTCTCAATCAATAAGCACTAATTACCAATTAATAATCAACAATAAACAATTATTAATTAATTATTATAATTAATAATTAATAATTAATTCTGATTAGAATAATCATATATATATATCACCATATATCACCATATATATAACCAATATAACCATATATATATGGTTATTCTTCTTCCATACAGTCCTCTTTCACTCTTGCATCATTCTCTGCTCAGTCATCTGTTCAGTCCTTTTTTCCCCTCTTTTGTCAGCTGCTTAGCCTCCACTTCAACTCTCTTAAAATAGTTTTTAATGCCACTCTCCAGAAATATCCAAATATCCAATTTCTACAATTTTAGATAAAAGATTCCAAACTCATTATTTTCCAACTCTGCTCTGTCTATAGTTCTGTTAGAACCACCACTTCTCCAATCACCACTCCAGTTCCGCCGCTCATTATCTCTTTCTGATCTTTAAAGCCTTCCGTCAATCTTACAGTCCTAGTCCAAAGCACCGCCTTTCAGCAAATCTATTTATTTTGTAATCCACACCTCTTTCAAGCCTCAAAGTGTATCCATTGGAGTTTTCTTCCTCTTCTCACCCACTCTCTCGCCTTTCATGGTCACTATCTGTCAAAGTTCCTTCTTCCACTCCTCTCCCTTTTCGTTGCCGCGTTTATCTGGCTGCAGTTCTGCCACTGATTTTGGAGTCTCGATCTCCCTGCTCTCTCCTTCCACAATATAACTGTACCTCACTCGTTTTTTTTTAAAGTCACTTCTCGTATTGTTGTGATCTGTTGATTCAAATTTTGCTTTCTACTTCTCGGCTGTCAGCGTTTCGGCCAGCCAAGATGGCTGGTTTTTTCCCCATCGGAATTAAGAGGTTTCTCCTGAACCTTCGGGACAATTGCTTTTTCCCCCAAGGTCCTTGAAGATTCCTCTTTTTTCTATTAATTTTTCCGGGATCAATAGTGCCTGATTTGGCTTCCTGGTTGGGAATATTGGAACTACAAGAACGGAGCCTCATTCTCTTGTTCCAAGCATGCTGACGTCACTGCCGGAAGTCCCTGATCTTTTTTTTTTTTCTTTGAAGAGGACTGGCGCTGCAACCTGTGGCTTGGCTGGCTCGATGAACCCCCTTGCTAGGTTTTTGTCTATGTATTTGTGCATTTCTTGCATTTCCCGGGGTGTCATGGCATACAGTTTGGGCTTGGGTAGTTTTGCCCCAGGGATGATTTCGATGGTGCAGTCTGCTTCATGGTGGGGGTACAGGATGTCGCACTCTGCCTCGCTGTATACTTCTGCGAGGTCCTGATATTGCCTTGGGATCTGTTCCGTCTCTGGGGTTTTGTTGGATGTGGCTGCCAGTTGTTCTGGTGGGTTCTTTTGGAGGGTTCCCTGTGTGGGTGGTGTTTCTGTTTGCTGGCGTGGAGGGGGTTGGGGCCCCCTTGCTATCCTTAGTCTGCACCTCTCCTTGCCACCAGATGGTCGGTCCCCACTTGTCTAGCCAGGAGAGTCCCAGTATGACTGCATCTGTCATTTGGGGGCTATTACTAATCAAATTACTTCCCAGTGATCTGCTAGCTCTAGCCTCACTGGTTTGGTCAGGTGGGTGGCATAGGCTCCCCACATTAGGAACCCATCGATCTGTTCGAACCGGATCAGGTGGACCAGTCTTTTTGCTCTGGTCCCCAGTTTCAGGACCGTGGTTAGGTTGATCAAGCATCTAATGCAGTCTGAGTCTATTAGGGCTTGAAAAGTCCCCTTGTTCCCTGCTTTTGGGGCTGTGAGAATGGGAAAACTGGTCCCTTCACCATTGGGTTGTTTTCGCCCTCGTCCTCACTGTCATAGGATTCTGGTGACTGGTAGTTGTTGCCTAGGGTTCCCCCCCCTTTGGCTGCGTGGGGAGGGACTTCTGCAGTCTGGAGGGCCTGCTGGGACGTTGTTGGTGGCCCATTTGGGGCCTTGTTCCAGTTGTGCTCTGGGTCACCACCCAGGGCACAACCCAGGGCTCTGGCCTAGGCTTCAGGGCTGGGGTCATGCATGCAGATACCATGTGGCCCATCCCCCCACAACTGTAGCACTTCAGCGGACTTCGAGGGAGGGCTGGTTTCAGGGCCCGCCATGGTGCTGTGGCTTCCTGTCAGCTAGGGAACCAGGTCGGGTTGACCGCTCTCTTTCATGTCTGGTTGCTTTCTCATGTCATTGGCGCACAATCCACCATTGACTTTTATTACTACTTGGAACCACTCAGAGAGCCGGTTCAGAATGTCCTGGTAAGTGGTTACCTGGGCAATTTGCTTGTCTAGGCTTGTTCTGAAAAGGTGCACTGACAGCCGCTCTGGTAAAGGGGGTAGCCTCCCAATGACTCTCCTAAATTCACGGATGTTCTCTTTAATGGGGCGGCCCCTCTGCTTTATTTATTTATTATTCATATTTCTATGCCGCCCACTCTCCGAGGACTCTGGGTGGCTTACACCAAAGACAGTATACTAGATAGCATATTGCCCCCAACAATCTGGATCCTCATTTTACCCACCTCGGAAGGATGGAAGGCTGAGTCAACCTTGAGCCGGTGAGATTTGATCTGCTGAACTAGCAGTCAGCTGAAGTAGCTGCAGTACTGCACTCTAACCACTGCGCCACCTCAGCTCTTAGATAGCTTTAGATAGCTGAGCTCATCTTCCGCATACAGGACTTCCTCCACCTCCTCGAATCTGGCCTCTAGCAGTCATAGGAAGTCATCTGCGTCTTGCAGTTGGGGGCGGTCTCCTCTTGTGAAGGGCTGCTAGCCATTCCATTGCTTCCCCCTGTAGCCCTCTGCGGTGGTATTCACCATGGCTCTGGGGGATGGGTAGAGGTGTCCATAACGTTGGAGGTGGATCTCAGCTGAGTCAAGGATTAGAGCTAGCTTTTCTGAATCCCCATCAAACTTTCCCCTGAACTGGGGTGGTTCATTCCGCACTGCTCCTCCCTCCCCCTGTTGGCTTCTGTATGCTTGCATTTGATGTGGCTGGCCATCTTCCTCAGCTCTAGTTCGGAGGGAGGAAGGGGGTTGTCTGCCCTGGGCAGCCTACCTGCTGCATGGAAAAGGCACTGGTTGCAGCCTCCTTCTGATGGGTGGAGAAGAGGGGTTGTGTTCCTGTCTGCTTCTCCTCACTTCAAAGGGATCCACTGCTCCCCCCCCTCTCTTTTGGCCTGCATGATGGCCCCTCATCACAAAGGGTGGCCTGATCAAATTCCTCCCTCAGCTGCTCTCTGGAACTCCCCAGGGGCTCCAGTCCAGCATCCACTCCACTCTTCCCAATTCACTCAGGGGCTTCCTCTTTTTCTGGGCATTGGGGTGGGGGAACTCAACTTCAGCTGCTTTAGGGATTAACTCCCATCAATACTTATCTCTTCTTGCTTCCGCCGCTGGAGCAGGCATTTCAGCTTTGATGTCTGAGGGAGGCTGCACCCCGGCTGCAATCAGGCTCTCTTCAGATAGCCTGTCCTCTGCCATGGTTGCCTGATTTTCCCTCCAGGCCCGTCAGATATCGGGGAGCGATTGGAGAGTCCAGGATTCAGGAAATCTGGTGATCTTGTTAGATTTTAAAAAGTAGTTCTAACTACTTTTAGTAGTTTTAGTAGTTAGAAGTTTCTGAAAGATGCCCTAATTAATTCATGAGCTACGAGCCAAACTTCAAAAGAAATACAGTGATTTATTAGGAGCACCATTCCGGCAATAATCTGATGCAGTCAGAACTGACCTCACATAGATTTACGGTCCCCTATGACCCTGTCTCCCCCCTCCTCCCTGGCCATGTCATAAATCACATTCTCCAATTGACCACATTGGCAGGCTATAGAACCACATCCCTCCTGCTTCCTCCGGTAACCTAGGACAAAATCTATAGAGGCATTTGTGGGATGTAGTTTCAGTTAGGGCAATCAAGCAGCTCCATCAGTTCTCCCACCCCACCCCACCCCGCTTATTGCAACTTGAAAGCTTTGCTAGTTGACATTAGATAGTTATAAGAATATAAGTTATTATTAGGCTAACAAACTTTTAAGATAAACAAAACAACAAAAATTATAACTTTAAATAAATAATAATACATAAACCTTCATTGCTATATTCATTGATAGTATTAATTATTTTCTCTTTTATATTGTAGGTTATTTTCTCCAAACAAACAAAAATGAAAAAAGATGTAATGGAATTTAAAATGATTCCAGTTATATAAACAAGCTACTTCCTTTGATATTTTCGTCTGGATATTTTTGGTTTAAAGAATCTATCCATGTGATATAACATCATTTTCCAAAAATGCCTTTTAAATTGTGACATGGTGATTATAAAGATGCAGTGCATTTCCAAAAAGCAAAGGAACATTGAGTTTCTGCAGCATGCACTATTTGACAAATTCAAGTGACTGTCTTATCAAATAACCAACCCTTACTGTACATAAAAACTATACAATTGATTTTCTGAAATCCAGAGCTAAGATGAAGGACATGTCAGTTAAAATTTACTTTATACTTGGCCTAACTATCACTGTTCCAATACAAGCTCTGAATAAGAAAACAGACTGCCCCCAGTCATGTTCCTGCGAGATACGACCGTGGTTTACTCCTAGGTCAATATACATGGAGGCATCAACAGTAGACTGCAATGATGTAGGCCTTTCTACTTTTCCACCTCAACTGCCTGTTAATACACAGGTACTACTTCTACAAGCAAACTGTATTAAAAAAATTGAATACCCTCGAGAATTTCCTGTAAACCTTACTGGTTTGGATTTATCCCAGAACAGTTTATCCACAGTGGCTACTATCGAACTTCAGAAGATAACTCAACTTCTTTCAGTATATCTGGAGGAAAACAAACTTATAGAATTGCCTGACAGATGTTTCTTTGGACTTAATAATCTCCAAGAGCTTTACATTAATCACAATCTACTTTCTACAATTGCATCAGAGGCTTTTACAGGCCTTGATAACCTTCTTAGGCTTCATCTCAATTCAAACAAACTGCAAATAATTAACAGCAAATGGTTTGAAGCTATTCCTAATCTGGAGGTTCTTATGATTGGAGAAAATCCAATAAGCAGAATTGAAGATATGAACTTTAAACCCCTTATAAATCTGAGGAGCCTGGTTTTAGCAGGCATAAATCTCAGAGAAATACCAGATAATGCCTTGACTGGTCTTGGCAATTTAGAAAGCATCTCTTTTTATGACAACAGATTAATTAAAGTGCCCCACAAAGCTCTTCAAAAGGCTACAAATCTTAAATTTTTGGATCTAAACAAAAACCCCATTAACAGAATACAAAGAGGGGATTTTAGCAACATGATACACCTGAAAGAATTGGGAATTAATAACATGCCTGAACTGATATCTATAGATAACCTCGCTGTTGAAAATTTGCCAGATTTAAGGAAAATAGAAGCAACCAATAATCCAAGATTATCATATATACACCCTAATGCATTCTATCGCCTTCCACGGCTGGAATCACTCATGCTCAATAGCAATGCACTGAGTGCACTGTATCACAGTACAATTGAATCTTTGCCCAATCTCAAGGAAATTAGCATACACAGCAATCCAATGCGTTGTGATTGTGTCATTCGATGGATTAATATGAATAAAACGAGCATCAGATTCATGGAGCCAGAGTCACTATTTTGTGTAGATCCTCCTGAATTCCAAGGCCAGAATGTCAGGATGGTTCATTTCAGGGAGATGATGGAAATTTGTCTTCCACTGATAGCCCCAGAAAGTTTTCCTGTAAATTTAAATTTAGAAACAGGTAGCTATGTTTCCTTACATTGTCGAGCTACCGCCGTTCCAGAACCTGAAGTATATTGGATTACTCCATCAGGACATAAGCTTTTACCCAATACTGTTTCTCTTAAATATTATGTACATTCAGAAGGAACATTAGAGATCAGTAATATAACACAAAAAGAAAGTGGCCTATACACATGCATAGCAACTAATTTAGTAGGTGCAGATTTGAAATCCATTATGATAAATGTGGATGGTTCTTTTCTCCAGGAGAATCACAAATCTTTCTCTATAACAGTAGAAGATGTACGCTACAATTCCGTATTAGTATCCTGGAAAACAAATTCTAAAATTGTGAAATCTAACATTAGGTGGACTGCCTTTCCAAAAGATGGAAACTCCCTGTCCTCTCATAGAGTTCGAATTCCATCACACCGAAAGGTCTATAATTTTACTCATCTCACCTCATCAATGGAATATAAAATTTGTATAGACATCCCCACTATCCGGCTTCAGAATGCAAGACAGTGCATCAATGTTACAACAAAAGAATTGGATCCGGCAATGAGAAATTGTGAGAAGAACAGCATCAACAGCACTACAGTTCTTTTCTGCCTTGGTTTTCTTTTAGGATTCTCTTGTGTTGCTGTTCTCCTCAGTTGCATCTGTCATGAAATGAATTGTGATGCAGGACACAGATTTTTCAAGAATTATGTGAAGAAACAATCCTTTTCTTTCAGTGAACTTTATCCTCCTTTAATCAGTTATTGGGATGCTGATAAAGAGAAAAGCATAGTCCTCGAAGTGCAGGCCACAGTTGTAGAGGTTCCAACAAACATGCCATGAAAGTTAAGGTTATTAGACTTGTTGCTTTAAGGTGACATTATCAAGACTCTCTTCTATCGTGCTCAGTTAAAAGGTGAAAAAGGATTCCTTTATGGAAACTTAGTGAGTACAAATGGTGGTTACAAATACAAATATTTACTGGTGTAGTATTTTTTTTTACAAAGGAAACACCTGTCTTTGGAAGTTCTATACCAACCAAACTGTTTTCTAAGACTTTATATGTGATTTCTTAAGAACTTCTAAGAGGTACATAATGCTGTCTAAACAAATAGATAAGATTTTTTTCTGTATTTGTTGTTTTTTAATTATATGTACAATAGTGGAACTGAATAAGGCTCTCCTCCTCTGTTGTATGATACACTTAGCCATGAGTTTTCAATAAACAAATAAAACTAGAATTGACCTATAGTGTAATAAAATGAACAAATTCTGTAGACACAGTGAATATGTGAAACTTTTTTATGATGAAAAATACAACTTTTTTTTTATTGAAAAAGTTTTTCAAATACAAATTTTCTCCCTTTCCCCCCCCTCCTCCCTAACCCCCCTCACCCCCCCTTCCCCTTTGACTTCTTCATAATAAAACCCAAATTCATAACAGATTATATCATGCTTTACTATCCACTTACTCCATCTCCATATACTGACCCTTTCTTTCTAATAAAATTATCATACCCCCTTATACTATACTATAATATGCATTTCAAAGTGAGATTCTATTATAACAATGTCTAATAACTCCTGATTTAACATAATAATATTATTATATCTCCCAATTTAACAATTTCTGCTCGTGATCTGCCCTTTTACTACCCCCCATACGATATAACATTTCGAAGCATACTTCCACTCTAAGGCTATTCAATAAATCCTAATTTAACACTTGTTCAGTTCAACTACCCATTTCCTTCCCCCCCTTCATTACATATATTCACATCTAAACATAATATCCCTTTTCTTTAAACTAAACAATCCATAACCTAACTTATCTCCACCCACTTTCCTACAAAATTACCATAATTATTCTTAATATCTTTATTCTTCTGCCCACTCCCCTAGAAAAATATTCCCTTATGTAAATAAAATCCTAAAAGAAAAAAACTTTAAACTTGTAATCCATATAGCATCTTCTGTAATATCTTTCAACTGGATGATAAACTCCATCACCCGTGTTAGGGTAACATTGCATCCTTGTTCCAGCAGTATTTTCAGTATCTTCAATTACCATCTGTCCCCATCAGTAACAAGTATCTTCATATTGGAAGAAAGAAAAAAAAAAAAACCCGACAACCACCCGAGTGACTTTATAATTATATTCCATATAATGTTTATGGAGGTGTCTTTTATCCAGATTATTAGTTCCAACCATCATAATAGGGTAACAACCAGATCTTCTGCGTGCCACGATCCAGTAGATCTCTTGCCATATAACTCAGCATACAAGTAATATATTTATCCGGAAATCCAAAAAAAACAAACAAGATATTTCCAACCATTCAATTTAAGGCCTTTTTCACATCCCAAAATAATTCAGCACTGCAGAGATCTGCCCTATCCTCAGGATTAAATAAACCAATACTTTGCCAATTATCATTTCATATGTTCAGTCCTCTCATAAGTAACTGGCATTGCACTGTTGTTTAGTTTAAAAGTTTTTATATTTGTGAGACCTACTTCTTCTTTTCTTGACTTTTTGTGGGTTGGATCTCCATCCTAAATTCCTTTCTGTAGGTTGTGTATCAACTATTTGGTTTTGCTGATGTATAACTTGATCCTGTTGGGTTTGCTTTTGTGGCTGAGATCTTTCTGGTTCTGTAGATTGTATATCAACTGAATGACTTCCATGCTGGTTTGTGGCTTGACAAATCATTGCATTAAGGTCCGGAACCGCCTCTCTTATATTAAAAAATCCAGCTGAGACCTCTGAAAGAGAATCCAAGAGCGGCTCATCTGTGGAGACCTCTTTAACTTGTTGTTTCTTCATTGTCTCCATCTCCTTCTGCTTTTCTTGAATTTCTGTCTCTTGTTGATTTTGCTTTTTAAGTACCTTATGATAAAATTCTTCCGCTTTTTCAACAGTATTTAACTGATATCTTACTCCTTGATATCTCAGTATTATACCCACTGGGACATCCCACCTGAATAAAATATTTTGTCTTCTTAACTCAGACACCAAGAGTCCAAATTTCTTTCTATCTCTTACCATTTTAGGCGGCAATTCCTTATATATCCAAATTTTTCTCCCATTCAGTTGTAAAGTAGAATTAAAAGATTTTTGTACAATATCATTTCTTATCTCTTTATCTGTAAAATAAATCACCACATCTCTAGGCAGTTGCCTTTGCTTTGCAATCCAGGAATTCACTCTATAAGCCTTATTAATTTTACTAAATACCTCCTCAGGATGAACCTTTAAGATCCCAGCCAAAACTTGAGCAGATGTTTTTCTTAAATCATCACTGTTATTTTCCTGTAAGCCTCTGATTCTGATCGCAAATTCTGTAATCCTGTATTGCAGCATTACAACCTCTCTTTCAATTCCTTGCTTTATATCTTCTGCATTATAAGTCTAATGACCAGTGACCAGCTTCCTCTTTAGACTTTAGTTCTGAGCTATTATCTCGAATATTTATTAAGTTCTTTTCAATTCTTAATATTTTATTGTTCAAATTATCAATTTTCTCCATTTTAGACTCTAGCAATTTAATATTTGTATCCAACTTTATAACAATTTCTGAAAAACCATTAGTCACTCTTACAATCTTTTGTTGCAAGTTGTCATACTTTTGTTGTATCATTTCTTTAATTTCCTGCCTTAAATTTTCAAATTTCTGGTTCACAGTCTCATAATATTTTGCCATTTCCTCCTGAATAAATTCTTTTAAATTAGAACCATTCTGCAGAGTCTGTAGGCTCAGAGCTTGTTCAAACAGTTGTAAGTGGGGGAGCACCCCCCCCCTTCTTGTCTATCAGATTTAATTAGTAACGCCATCCTTCCAACAAACTCTTCTTTTTTACCCCCCAAACAAGATCAAGTACAAATCTCCAAGAAGAGAGGAACTTAAAATAACTATTTTTCTTTCAAATTGTAGCCAGCACTATATATTCCGCTACTTTGTATCTGTTATGGAAGGACTCTTACTTTCAGCTTTCTTCTACTTCCCAAGCCTCAGCGGCCATTTTAAAACTTTTTTTTCCTTCTCTTTCACTTTAAAATGCTTGTAAGTTCATTAGGGATACTTGCAATTTAGGGTCCCAAGTCCAAGTCTCATCTTTTTTAAATAAATCCATCTGTTAGATTCGTTAGTTAATCCGGTTCCAGCGCCTAGCTCTGCAAAAAAAAAGCAGAGTGCACCCGATGCCCGGAGCAGCGGCGAGGGACAATAGGGAGCTCAAACCTGCTCGTCCCCAAGAGTTAAAAAAAGACTCTGGGGACTTCGCAGATGGCTCTACCCACCCCCGCCCGCTCAGACTCACATTTCCATCAGGAAATGGAGTTTTTCAAGCTGCCTTTCAGATGTAAAGGCGGCTCTTTTACAGGCAACGGGGCGGCGGTCACGGAGGACCGTCTGGCGGTGCCGCGAAAAATACAACTTTTGATTACAATCAAAACAGCTTCAGTATTTTTCTTTCTGAAGACATTATTCTGGAATATATGTATCTCCAATACATATTTTAATTCCTAATAGAGATACATTTCTGAAGAAATGCACATGTGATTTTTGAAAGCTTGTTTTAATTGTGCAGTTGCAATGCGATCCTAAATATTCCTACATAACTTTGGAAAAGTTGTATTGTCTGGTCCACTAGCTGGACAAGGCAAATCAATTTTCACAAGATAACAAAAATAATAATGTCCTTGGAATGAGATTTAATTTATAATGTAAAAGGCATGTAGTAATTTATGAATTACTTTTTTCATGTACTTAAAGTTATAATCAATTATATAGATTTTTATCCCAAAATGAAATCACTACATTCAGTTAGATTTGTTCTCAGTTGAAATGTTTAGAGAGCAATTTCACAGCCTGGTTGGTTGCATCATAAAATTCTAATATATCTAAAAAGTTGCTGGCAATCTACCAGTGTGTGGAAGAGGGTGGAAATTTTGCTTCTTTTATTAAAGACAATAAGAAGGAAATGAATTTTAGGTCAGATGATCATTTCACCAGTTCAGAATCAAATGAAACTGAATAAAGTCAGCAGTCAGAAAGAAGAAAAAGAGGTAAAAATGAAAACACATAAAGCTACAAAATGGATCAAGGTGGAACTTTAGGATGCTTTAGGAACCTTTCATTCTTCCATTCTAGCAGCACCACATCCCATTTAGTGTTTTTATAATGCCACAAAGCACAAGCCATGAATATGGGTGGGAAAGGAACAGATTTTAAATTTAAGATCATCTTAATTTTAAGAAACAGACTCCTTAAAAAAGCAACAGCATTTGTTCAGCTTTCTGCAGAATCCTGAAAAAGGTAGGTCTAAATCAGGGGTGAAATTCTCCCGGTTTGGACCAGCTCGGGCAAGTAGGTAGCGATGGCGGCGGGCAGTTCGGAGAACCGGTAGCAAAAATCCCTGCCCCGCCCCCCATGCCCAGCTGAGCCCCGTGATCATCAGAGCCTTTTTTCCCCTTTTAAATGGCTCTGACCAGCCAAGCTCTGACATCCCAGCTGAATTGCCTGCTAAAAGCCATGTAAAAGAAAAAAAGTTTCTTTTTTTCTCTCCCCCCCTCCCAGCCTCCAGCTTGCTTACCTTAGCTGCTGATCGCATGACAATCGCAATCCATGCATCAGCAAGCAACTGAATCTCCCTGCCTGCATTCAAGCTCATCGGTGAGCAGCTCTTTCTGCCTGCCTGCCTTCCTGCCTAGACTTGTGGACTTCAACTCCCAGCAAAGCTGGCTGAGGAATTCTGGGTGTTGAAGTCCACAAATCTTAAAGTTGCCAAGGTTGGAGACTCCTGTTTTGGGTAAGTTTGGGTAAGTTTTTTCCCCCTTTGGGAGCTTTAAAAAAAATAGTTAATTGGGTTTTTTTTAGTTGTTCTTTATTTAGACCTAGTCATTTAAAGTTTAGGACGTTTTAAATTTAGCTGCTTTTATATAAAAATAAAAATAAATTAAAATAAAATAATATTTGTGCAGCTTTCTGAGATTTAGTGTGTTTCTGTAGTGTTTCACTCTAACTACACAAACACACAAAATCTCACAAAGCTGTATGTGGAATTTTCTGTGTGTAAAGTGTGAAAGTTGTTTTTTTGGGCTTTTTGTGGCTGTGTGAGGTTCCTGCTTATTGCAGGGGCCATTTTGGGTCTAGCACAGCTGCTTTTACATTGTGGGCGAGCCAGTTGTGTTGTGTTGTGTTTTGTAGGTTAAAAAAGGGCAAAGAAGTGACATTGACTTGGCCACGCCCACCCAGTCACCTTACCACCAAGCCCCAC